GCAATACTGTATACGTGCTGCTTGAATGTTTTATGAAAATGTTTGACGACATGGTTTATAATGTTTATTGGAATAAATTATTTTAAGGAAAAAATCTAAACTTCCCAGTAATAATTTATATAACTTTATTTTTTCTTAGTTCATGATAGATGTGGATCTGGTCCTCTGGTCTCTTAAAGTAGTACTCTCAGGGCTGTAGTGTAACTCAGTGATAAGAATGCTTGTCTAGCGTGCAGGGATTCTTGAGTTAGTTTCTCAGGACTGGAGAAAAATAAATAACCAAACCAAAGCAAAACAAAACAATGAAATCTTGTTGTTTACTGTATGGAAAATGCCAGGCAATTATACTGTCATACATAATAGGCATTTTCATACTTCCTCCTTGCATTTTTTATGAATTAATCAAAATGTTTAGTTTATTTATAGTGTACACGAGCTATTATTATATTGAATGGAAAAAAACAGCACTTGATTTGCTCTTACAGTTTCTTGAATTATTGTTAAAAAAATATTGAAAGATAGCTTATACTATCTTGAATCAGAAGATATTTCAAAAACAAAAGGATTTTCTTCTCAGTTAAATTAGAAATAAAGGGAAGGGAAAGAGATCGAGAGATACTATTTTGTATATTTCCTGTTTAAGTAAGTCTCCCGGAAGAGGAGCAGGAAACATCCTGAATATTGCTGAGTATACCCACAAGTTTTAGGTCTTTAAGTTATCGTTTGCTCTTTTGCTACACTTCCTATGGCCTAAATTTTATTTAAATTTTTAGAGAGGAGAAAAGAACAGCTCTTAGCAGAATCCCTTGGTTATTCTTTATCAACATATTGCAATTTTCCTTGTTTTCCTTTCTGCATCTTAAGCTTTCCACAAGTAAATAGCTTCTCATTTTCAGAAAAACATTGTGACAGTTTTTTCTTGCAAGAGACACTAGCTACCCAATTGCTTTTAGATTTCTGTTATTCTGTAAGAGTTGTGCCTTCCACATTTTCAGTTGTATATTTTGGGTGTTTAAAATTTTCCACTTAAGTTTTGCTTAAAATTAGCTTTGGTGACTTTATGTGAGTAATAAACATGTTGCTTAGGCAATTATCTTTTCACACGTTTTTTTCCTACAAGGAACCTGAGATATGGGATGGGGTTAGGGCATCTCTCCAGGGTTACTGGAAACCAGGTGCCTTCTCTGGATCAGGTGATTTGCTTTCACTTTTTCCTAGAGTTTTCACTTATGTCCAGTACTGTACATGTCTCATTTGTCTAAAATAAATTGAGATCTTTCTTACCTACCTTTATTCTATCATAGTGTTATAATATCTAGGATATTCTAGTATCTAAAATATCCTAGTATCTGCAACTATACTGCTCTTTTCTTGGCCAGTGATATAGCTATGCAGCACAGCACCTGCCTGGCAAACACAAGGTCCTGAGTTTGATTCGCGATACCTGCCCCCGCCAAGAAAAAAATTCTATTCCATTTTTTTTTTTTTTTAAGAGCAAAGCCTTACTCTCTCTCTTTTCCACAAAATATTTATTTATTTATTTTTTATTTTAAAGAGTAAAAGAAGGATAACATAATAATGGGGGGGCTTACCAAATTACAGACAAAGTGGTAGGAAATTATCAATGGTTATTGTTTCACATATTGTTATCTACAAGATAATTTCTCAGGAAAAGAAATAGACAAATAATAGTGAGTTACAGACAAAAGAGGTAGGAGATTATCAATAGTTGTTGTACTATACTTTGGTATCTTCAAAGTGGCTTCTAAAGAAAATAAATAGAGCTATACATGAGTGACCTATTGAATAATCATTAACTTTTCTCAATGGTTGTTGTAGGAAACACATAATGATAGACATGCATCCATTTATGAAATAGGATAGGAACAATACAAACATTGCAGAGTTATGGATAGATTAGTAGGAAAATATCAATGGCTGCTGTAATACATGGTGGTATCTTTGAAGTGGTTTCTCAGGAAGACAGAGATATGCAAGAAGGATCTAACAAGTAGTTACAGCCTAAGGGTTGTCAAAAATCAAGTGAGCCGTCTGGGGCCAAAGCCATTTTTTGTAGCGTTTTCTCTCCAGCCTCCCATCGCATTGGGACCCAGCAACCAGTTAGTATCCTCTCCCCAACTGTCAGCACAAGCAGCAGGAATCCTGCTGCAGACTTCTCCGGAGCTCCACCACAGCCTGTACTGTCAGGGGAAGAATGGCTTCCAGTGAGTCTCTGCAGGTATTGTGCAAGGTCCTCCTGGTTTACAGCTTCCGAGCAGCTCTCATGACCCCAGTCCACAGGACTTCTGACTCCTCGGGCTTAGTGTGCATTCTCATGTTCTCTGAGTCCTTGTTCAGCAGCTGCTCCTCTGCTGACTCTGGACATGTCTGGTTCTCAATGGCAGGAGCAAGAGTGGCCCGTTGTATGGCACACAGTCCCAGGGATTTCTCCGTGTTTGAATGGTTCACACACATCCATGGGTGGGCATCTGCAGCCCGTGCATGGTGGGCCAATTGTGTCATTGTTTCTCTGTGTCGTGGTAGTTCTCAATTGAGCAGCTGCAGGGGCCCTCCCCCCAGGCACCTGTGAGGCAGGAAGCGAGCCAGCCAGAAGAGCAGCGCTCCCCGCCCCGTGGCTCCCCGTGCGCTGCAGGCGCTCCCTCAGGGCACCTACAAGGCAGGAAGCGAGCCAGCCAGAAGACTGGCCTCCACAAAAGATTTAATCTTCATCTGTTTCTTCAGTTTTTGGATTGACATGGGCAAAGACATGGCAGCTCACAGACCACTCTTATCGTATGTTGACAGTTTTTGTCCTGGGCAACACTTTAAGGAAAAAAATAGATTATAAAATAGGCTGCGAATGTCTCCCTGGCAGAATTTTTTTTTGTTTTTGGTTTTTCTCCGGTACCGGGAACCGAACTCACTACCTTGTGCTTGCCAGGCAGGCACTTTGCTGCTGAGCTAAATCCCGAGCCCCTCCTGGCAGAATTTTTAAAACATTCTTGACTGAGCTAAATGTTGCCGGCTCTTTATTTATCAAAAGGCAGTATCACAAAGGTTTAGAAAGAAGGCTTTTGAAATCCAGGATAGATTTTTCCATGGCAGTAATATCATAACTATGTGTTATGAAATAGGTCTAATCTGCAGCAAACTTGCCAATAGTATAAATCACAAGGGAATTATAATTAATTTGATATGATGAACTCATGTTTAATTTTAATTTAATCGATTATAGTTACATTGATATGATGAACTCTTGAGTTTCTATTTCATGCAGATACTTACATAAAAATACCTAGTGAAAGCCTTGTGGAAATTTTCTTGAATGGGTACCTGCAGTGTTTTCCGAGATGGATGATACTCCACCTGTCATATCTACTTTAATTTCTAAAATATCAAATGAAATAAGAACTTCTTTTGGATATGTTTCTTCAGATTTCTTGATGGTTATATTTGTATATTCTAAGAAAAGTTAGTGAGATCAACAATGGATCCTTTTCTCTTTGGAAAAGTCAACATATTAGCATTACTATAAATGTAGATTTTTAAGAATTATAGTATAGTACTCTATACATAGAGTAACTAAAATGCATAAATAACACATTATTATATATAGTTGGTTTCCTCCTTATAAATTGGACTTAAACATGATATAGGGTGGCCCATATCAGTCATTTAATTTGTTCCATTCTTATGTTAATTATATTAATAAACTTATGTTAATACTTTTAAGTATTTCCATTCAGAACCTATTTAGCCACATTAATAGTTTAATACTTCTTTAACTAGCTATAGGAGCTTATTAGTTGCTTTATATGTGCGCATATACAACTGCCACCGTATCTTTTTTAGAGGGAGGGCTAGTAGAATGGGTAGAAGTTTTATGATGAGAACCTACCATGACACAGTTAAGATCATATTTGAGGGGCTGGGGAATTAGTTCAGTGGCACAGCGCATGCCTGGCAAGCTCAAGGTTGTGAGTTCGATTCCTGATACCAGAAAACAAAAACAAAAACATCATATTTGTACACTCCTTCTTCCTCTTTCTTTCCTATTCCCATTGCCCCTAAGGACCTAATGTTGCAAACCATTGGGAGGAGAAAGCTGGGGAATATGAGGAAACTGAGCAAATCAGCTAAGGAATGCGTGTGTGTGAGTAGGGGGAAATACAAAGGCACGTAGAGCCCTTCTCATTCTTTTAGTTCATTACATTCCAGAAAATACCCTATCAAAGTTGAAAGCCTGTGCCTTTCTTACTAACACAACTACCCCATAAGCAGCAGGAACTGTCTCTCACTGGGCATTCCTGCCCATGCTTGCTGGTTTTAGCAATAGGGGCCGGCTCATAGTGACGCTCTCAGAGGAGTTAGTATAGAGTTAGATTGTTATTTGGATGTTCGTAAGATCGATATTTTAATTTATAAAGTTCATTTTCATACAGAACTCAAATAGAAATACTTGTAACCAAGCGCAAGGTCGTGAGTTCGGTTCCCCGGTACCAGAGAAAAACCAAAAGAAAAAAAAAAAAAGAAATACTTGTAACCAAAAGATCAAAGGATTATAATAAGAAATGATTTGAATTTTGGTCTAAAATGTCCTTATTCTGAGTATGAGCCTTTAATTGTATTCTAAATATATCATGCTTTTAATGCTAATGTTAAAAACCAATAGGAGGGGGCTGGAGATTTAGCTCAGTGGCACAGCACCTACCTGGCAAGCGCCAGGTCGTGAGTTCGATTCCCGATACTGGGAAAAAAAACCAATAGGAGCATGTGCTTACATTGTGACAGTGTATTACAAGCCCACACAGTCATCCAGTGTTATTTTAACCACACATCTTAAATTAGCCATTTTCTAAAGTTAAATTGTACTTTTAAGTGTGTGTTTTAATTATTTACAGGGGATACTAGGATGCCCAATTCCATGTGCACTCTAGCATTAAAGCTGATTTAGTAATCAATTTGCTATCAATTCACCCCTTTCATTGCTATTTATCTAGGGCATAGTGATCCTAGAAGAAAGTAAGCTTCCAAAAGATATTCTGAAAAAACAAATACAGTTTGCAGAGCAAGCAGCTTCATTAAACACTACAGAGAATCTTCAGGTTCCCCAGAGAAGTCAAGAGCCTTTACCAGAACAAGATTTTGAAATGTCACCAAGCAGCCCAACACTTCTTCTTCGAAACATAGAGAAACAGGTAAAGTCAGAGTTAAGTGTACAGGTATTGAAATGGCATTTTACTGATTTTATAAATTATTCAAATAAATGTCATTGTATGTGTGTTTGTCTTTGATATGGGGAAATGAAGTTGGCTACTTGACACTGCATACAATTTAAATATTTGGTATATATATATATGGTTTACCTCTATTATATTGATACAGTTAAAAATTATTTAAATTAGTATGGAAAATTCTTTCTGAACAAAGCTGCTCATCATTGGACTTTTTTCAGGAGGAAAGAACAGTGGTTAATGTTTGACTAGTGGATTGAAACTCTCAGTGAAAAGTAATAATGGAATATGAGTTTCTTCATCAAAATGGTGTGGAAAGTCAAAGAAGGCCCTAATAGACTGCTTTAATTCCAGACCCTCGCCTGGTCTGTAATCCTATTATGGATGACTGTACAAGTTGCAGTATTTTGCAGTATCTGTGTCTCTCTCTATCTGTCCTTTGCAGCTAGGGAGAATCTGCCAGAGCACAGCCAGTCTTGACCACAGCCGCATGATCACCTGCTATCCTGGGAAATAATACAGTCAACCCTGTCGACATCTAATTTTCCTGAATTTCTCTAATGTAAACTGTTAAGTAATTTAGTACTGGATTCCTAGTAAACTAAAACACTGCATAAATTCTCATATTTGGTAGAATTACAATTGCTTAGTTTTCGTTTCTTATGTAATCACAGCACTTTTGTGAATATTTTGTACTTTGGGAAGTTACTTCGTAATCACCTGATGTTCAGTTGGGATGCACCCTAACGACGGAGCAGTGGTGCAGATCAGCGTTGGTTACCCTCACACTCTCTTCTCTGTGCACCTCTTCCCCTCGTTCCATACGCTCAGTCCCTCTCACTTACACATTGGTTGCTTCTTACTCTAGAATGATTCATTTGCTTTCTCAGACCAACTGTCTCCACCTGTTGGCCGTTAGTTATGTATTGGAAAGTCAGCTGATAAATTAGTTCTCTTTCCCCCACTCCCTCCCCTTTCTCCTCCTCTTCCTCTTCTTTCTCCTCACTCCTTTCCTCCTCTTCCACTGCAGACTGAACCAACCTTCTAACTGAGCTACACCCTCAGCCCTTTATTTTTATTTTTCATTGTAAGACCAGGTGTTGCTAAGTCACTAAATTGCCCAGGCTAGGCTTAGACTTTTGATCCATTTATCTCAGCCTCCCCAAATGTTGGAATTGGCACATGTGTGACCGTGCTCAGCTTAAATTAGTAAGTAGTACAGTAAATTCTAGAGGAGTTTTCATGTTTAAAAGACTTCCTGTATTTTGTTTTCTCTCCTTGGTTTGATCAGTTTTGTTGGACCTGAGATAATATCAGAACTGGCTGATTTGTACAGTGCAAAATGCAACTGCAGACCCCTTTATTGAAAATATTTATTAGGAATTTAAAGACAGTGATAGCAGACCACTAAGCAGCACAAGACCCTTCTAAGCATAATCCAGTGCTTCTGCACAAGTTGCAAGGCTAGCATAGGCCCTTTCCCATCACTGAACATGATACCTGACAGCCACCTCTTGAAGGAGGAGCGGTCTATTTTGGCTCCTGGCTTCATTTCATGGTCAGTGGGCTCTAAGGCAGCCAGAGGCTGGCGGAGGAACATGACAGAGGAAAAAGTTACTCAAAGTATGGCAGCCAGGGTGCCAATGAAAACATAAATGTACTGTTGAGTTGTATACTGAAATTATTTTAAAAATATAACTGATTTGTAAGATTACTACTTGTATTGTAATTTTTTTTATAAATAAAATGATGCCTTGTTTTAGTACTTCAGATGATTTAAAATAAATTTCACTACTGGTATATTTTCATTAAAAATCTTGCTATCCATATGTATTTTTTTTTACTTAAAATTATTTTTTCTTTTCAGAGTTCAAGTTATGTCCCTCCTAATTTTACTTTTTTTTTTAATTGTGGTACTTTTATTTTTTGTTTTCTTTTGTTTTTGTTTTTTTGCTGGTTCCAGGAATTGAACTCACAACCTCATGCTTGCCAGGCAAGCACTGTGCTGCTGAGCTAAATCCCCAGCCCCCTACTTTTCTTACTGTAATTTTTATGGTCAATTTCCTACCTCATATGTGGGTTATGGTGTATGAAATTGGGCCAAAGTTTCTGGTTGTTTAGGTAAAGCCAGTTGTTTAAATTCTGTCTGAGACAGTTATCACACACTTGACCAGTGATGTCTGCGGGCTTAAGAGCTTTATGATGATGTATTTGAAGGTAGAACAATGAAAACAGTGTTTTTATGTTGCAGACTAGAAAATGATGTACTTCATTAATTTAATTGAATAAACTAATGAGTACTTGATAAACGAATAAATAATTTATTGGTATTGATGAATTTGAAAATGAACTTTAATTGGAAAAGTATCTGTTTAACAATTTTGAAAATGAACTCATTAACTCATTTTTCTCCTAAGAAAATAAATGATGAAAACATTGCAGGATTTTTCTCATGAAAGAAATTTTTAAGGACTCAGATATTAGGTTAGGTTATACCATATTCTTTATCTCATTATTTCTAATAACATGTTATTAGTTTCATGCAAATGAAGACTTTAAAAATAATTATTTAGCAGGCTCACATAAATGTAATATTTTGCTGTTAATGAAAATTGTAACAGAGGTCTGCATATAATTTGCAAAACAAAATCACACTATATCAAGGAAGAGAAACTAGTTTTAGATAATTTATGTGCATAACTTTATTAAAACGTGTGTATTATTGTGCTTACATTCATGCTTGTATATACTCAGTAAACTTAGAATGATATATATACCAACAAATTAACAATAGTTTACTTTGTAATATGAGTATAAGTGACACTTCTATTCTGGTACTCAGGATTGAACACAGGCTTTCATGCTGAGCTACTCCCCAGCCCCCAGCATTCCCCTCCCGCAAAACCCTGGTCTTAAATTTTTGGGGGGCCTTTTTTTTTTTTTTGAGATAGGGTCTCACTATGCAATTCAGGCTGGCCACCTCACTTAGTAGCCCAGGCTGGTCTCAAACTCGCAACAGTCCTCCTGCCTCAGCTTCCCGAGTGCTGGGATTACAGGTGTGCACCACCATGCCTGGCTCCCTGGCTTTAATTTTAAGACAGGTCTTGCTAAGTCAGTAGGTTTCCCAGGCTGCACTCAAATTTGTCCTCCCCTGGCCTCAGGCTTCCAAAGTGCTAGGTACTCTTTTCATTTTTAAAATTTGTATACATTTTCTAATTTTTCTACCACAAGCATGGGTTACATATATAATGAAATGCAATTTTTTGTAGAAATACACAGTTTCCATTTATGTGACTTTTATTAAAATGTTCTGATTGTTTTGACAGTAATTTAAAAAATTTTACATATATTTAAGTTTGGGATAAAGGTCAATGAATGTCTTGAGTGCTCTTCCTAAAAAAACAAAAAAAACAAACAAAAACAAAAACAATTTTTTTTGAAGTGAGGAAAGTATTGAGCAACAGTGTGGTTAAAATTAGGCCTAAATTTGGATCCCAGCTCTATTGCTTCTCAGCTTTATATCCCTTGTTCATCTACTTAATTTCTCTTTCTTTTCTATAATTTCATCTACTTACCATTAGTAGTGATATCAATAGGTATTTATAAAAACAGCTATGAGTTTTTATTATTAATTTTGTCATCTCAAGGGAAATATGTAGATGTTTATAGCTGGTTTCAGATGTTCTAGAGGATGGGATTGGTAGATAAAGAAATCATTAAAAAAGGATATGGAAAATGGTGGGTACTTTAAAATACAGGTTTGTTTGTAGTAAGTGGAGAAATCAGTGTGATGTAAATCGTATTTGTAGATTAAATATTTATGAAAACATACTCATTTGTATGTTTTGAGAGACAGTAAGTGTTGAAGAACCACTGCAGGTCTGAGAGACAGCGCCATCTCTTGGCCAGGAGGAGTATAACGCTGATTGTCTCCTTGCAGAGTGCTCAGCTGACTGAAATCATCAACAGTTTGATTGCACCTCTCAACTTATCGCCAACTTCATCACCCCTGTCCTCGAAATCCTGTAGCCATAAATGTTTCACTAACGGCATTTCCCGAAGGTAGGTATCCGAGAGATAGGTGTGCTTCTCAGTTTAGCTATGCTTATTTTATTTTGTTATAGCTATTATAGCTATTTTTTCTTTTGTGTTCAGAGCTACTAGACTACAGTCAATAGACATGGGTACAGTTTTAGAGAGTAGCAAATTAATTAAGTAACAATAAAGCTAGGAATAAAGGAGAAAGTTTTCTTGGAAATTTTATGATGTTTCTGAAAAAGCATACTAGTGATAAGTTTTGTTATAGAAGTACTGCCTTATTTATTATACTTTCCATTTTGTTTCTTTTGTATTCTTGAGCTCCATGCTCTCCTTGTAGTAGATTAAAAAAAAAGAAACATATCCTGGGACATAATTTGGGCACAGAAGATTGGCATATGTTATCAATAAAATTCTAATCTTTTAGTCAATTATTTCATATCTTAACTTGCATCAATTTTTTTCTAAATGTAATTGATAAAATAGTTTTTGCAATCATCAATTTCTTTTATATATTGTCTCATCAAAATATGTATTCTATGAATTCTAATCCTTTTTGAGAACAGCATTTGTTCAATTTCGTTTACTTTTCTCTTTGAACTTTTCCTTTTAAAAATGCAACTTGACAGTATACTAATAGAATACCATTTGTGTGTCATTTAATTTTTTTCCAAATTGTTATAATTTTAGGTCCTTTGATTTAATTACCATAGAGGTCTAAGGGTAATTTTGTATTGGAAGTTATTTATATGAATAATGTGATACTTTTAATATAGAATAAGAGCAACATTGATGCCATAGTGAAAGACATACATTCTCAATAATATTAGTGGATAAGTCTTAAAATAAAAATGCTATTATTTGATTTTTATATTTCTTGGTATTTTGAAAGTCTAATTTTTAGTATTTACAGTTTTATTTGTACTTGGTCATGTAGCTTTTACTTTGAGGGCAGTTCTTGTATTGATTTGCTTCATTTTTTGACTTTGTATGCATTTATTACATCACTGATGATTCATTTTGGAAGTAAAGATGCTCACATGGCATACAGAGCATCTATGATATCCTCACTTTTAATTAGGAGAGTAAGTGAAGTATAAATCGAGCCATAAAAAGGCGTATGAGTATTGTGATTGGAAGATAACTGCATTATATTTTGTTTGCCTAATCAAGAATGACACTATTACATATATACTTACATGAATACATGTGTATTTTTGTTTAAGCATACAGCTGGTTTTTTATATCTGTGCATTCCACATGCCTGGATGCAACGAAACCTTGCCGACATTATCTTAAAAGACGCATCTGTACTGAACATGTACAAACTTTTTCTTCTTGTCATTATTCTCTAAATATGACATAATCATTTTCATGGCATTTACATTAGATATTATGAGTAATTTAGAGATTAGTTAAAGCATATGGGAGGGGAGCCAGAGGGTGGAGGGACAACTGGCTGCAGATCAGTGTCTGCAGGACTTGGAATCAAGAACCTAGAAAACTACTACTTAGTGTGGAACAAGAGAAGTGCTCCAAGAAGAAGGAGCCAACAAGAGAGCTAAAAATCACAGAGTAACAGAAGACAGCTCAGAGAAAAGAATGAAGCAATGTGGAAGGCTTAGAAAACTGTGAAAGCCTGGAGGGGGCCCGTGGGCTCACTGATAAATAAGGGGCGGGCGGTGCTACCTCAGGAACAACTCACGGCTCTTGTAAACTATAAGCACATTGTAGAGTTTTACTCTGAAAGTGATTCTTTGCATGGCAGGATATCTTTGGACAAGAAGTCCACAGTGGTGCACACAATATCTGAAACTAGTATAAGCAGGAGCCATTTTGAGCAAGGGTTTATTGTTTAACACTAAGCTACACCAGGAACCAGAAGTCACAGAATAGCCACATTTCAGGGTCTCTGGGGTGACCATACCACAGTGACCGGTGAGAGAGGGCCACAAGAGACAGTCGTGGGGGGCGTGGCTAGTCACAGATCCCCTGAGAAGTGTAAGTAGCTGGGAGCTTATGTTATGGAAGACACTATGGGTGGCAGGACCCCTCTCTGTGGTAAGAAGTTGAGCCCATGATATGTGCATTTTTCTTTTCTTTTTTTTGGTACTGGGAATTGAACTCAGGACCTTGCTCTTGCCAGGCAGACGCCTGTGCCGCTGAGCTACACCCCTGGCCCTGATATGTGCATTTTAAGGGGGCTGGCTGGAAAGTTCTGAGATTCAGTGCAGTGGATCATTTGACTCCCCTCGCTACCACCTTCCAGCACAGAACTCTGGCCTGTTTGCTTTATCCACCCACCACCACCATGCTTAAGAATATACTTCTTTTTTTTTTTTTTTTTTTTT